CTTTACATCCCTGGCAGGATGCATAGGAATGAAAAACTGTCACGTAACTAATTCCCTTCGGACAATAGCAGAAACAGTTCATATCCACATCGAACTTATAAAGCGGATTTCTCAACGAAGAGATGAACTTCTGCAAAAACAGACAAAACTTGTTTCCTTTGGGAACAGTCACAAACACATGCTTCTTCCTTCTCAACTGCCACTCAATCACATTACAACATAGCAACCAAATAGAAGCTCTGTTCTGTTTGGGAGAAGGGTTGTTGATCACTATACAGTGGGGCTGCAATCTCTCCAGTTGCTGCCAAATACCATCTTGACCCTTCATAGTGGAAAAGTTGTATCCTGCCTTGAAATCCATAGGAGATGCAACTTTAACACCATTCTTTGAAAGGAACCAAGATAATCCACTGTTTCCATGAAGTAACTCAACAACATCAGGATGATCATCATTACAGAAGAAAAAGGACTGTTCTCCGAATTCGGCATCAACATACAGTTCGTGATCTTCACGCAAGTTCTCCGGATTCTCATCGTCTAATGCCGGTATGGAAACATCATGCCACTCATCGTGATCGCGTCTAACCTTTGACTGATTCACACGTATCACTGCCTTACCAGTATTGGCTTGGACCATAGCTCCTTCTTGTCCAAGTACTGTGGCACGAACCCAACGTCCTTTATCCTTGAACTTTGATGAATCCTGAGTCCAAACAAAAACCTTCTCTCCTTGGAAATAAGGACCATCACTTGGCATAGTCCTTCTTGCAAGATCTGCTCGAAGGTCCTGAGCTTGTCGTGCTTCTTGATGAGCTCTCAAAGCCACACGTTGTAGTTCCAAATTTGTACGATCTTGTGCGGCGGCATTAGCTGACAATTGCTCAGGGCTTGCGGTCTCAAGGTCAAAAAGATCTGGTGGACGTCTTCCAGTTGCTATCTCTATTGGTGAATATCCACTGATAGTCAACTGACAATTTCTTGCCCAAACTACCTTCTTGACCACTTCTCTGACCGTAACACCACGAAAACGTGGGTCATCCAGATCTACCTTCATAGCATGCCACATACGTTTGAACAAACGTACAGCTGTCTCTGCTCGGTTCGGCCAAGGAGTTCTTGGCCCACAAGGACATTGTTGTATACCATGGAACCTGTAGTATTCAACAAAAGCATCTGTGAAAAAGGCTTCGTCTCCTACGATGGCCTTCGGAACACAGTTGTTCTCATCAGACCACTGCCTCAATGCTTGGATGGTGGTTTGATCTATGAGGTCTTTCTGTGCCGTAGCCCAGAGAAGATTTGTGGCACCATCAAGAACAAGTAGAATGATATACTTGTTCTTGTGAAGTTCAACCTCACAATGATCAGCAAAAACAACATCACCAAAACATGAAGCTCTAATACCGGAGACTCTGGCTCGTGGCGGAGGTGCCACTGAAGTGTTACAAACACGGCAGTTCCTGACAACTGATTCATACTTCTCTAAAACAGAGTCAGGAAGCTTCAACATAGAAACACGTCTACGAAACTGAGTAGGACTCATATGGTAGTGCTTCACATGAAGCTTATAAAGCTCTACCTTGTCCTCCAGTCTCTGTAACATCTTCCTATATGCCGGTGTCATTGCAACAACTTCACTACCAGGTAATGGGACTGAAATCCGCCTAGGCTCAAGAGCGCCATCACCTGGTTCAAGTGGTTCATGTTTCTCACTTGATAGTCCTTTTGATGCTTTAGGAATTTCTACAAGTTCACCTTCTGGCCTCTCAGGTGGTTCTGAAGGAGCATACTCCTCAAGATCATCACCCTTTAAATCATTCTGAGGCTCAGATGGTTTCGACTTGTGTCCTTTCCAAAATGGATCAAAACCCTTGGAAGTATACCGAAACTTTGGCGGCACGGGCTTTTCCGCGGCACTGGATGGTGCACCTTCCTTCTCTGACGAGAAGCCTGGTTCCCTGTCCTTTGCAATGGGAACCTTCTCTGAGGAGGAGCGCACCACTGCATCGGGATCACCAATGCCACGGTGCTCAATGCCAGCCTTCCTGATCTTTAGATCTGGAATTTTGGCATCTGGCTTAAATTTAAAAATTGTTCTACCACGCCATTCATAGCCAAGTTGTAGGTCCTTCCATTTTGCCTTGCGCCAATCATCTGTCTTCTTGATTTCTTCTCCTCCTGCTTTCTTCTTGATGATTGTCAGTCGCAAGTCTTCCAGCAAGTCAGTGTCTACAGGACAGGACTTAGTTGCTGGGAAAAGAATTTTCCTGTAATCCTTGTGGTGACGTATCAGTTCTCTCTTGTGAACATCTACTTCCCAGAAATCAACCACAGGATATGCATGCTCAGCTTCACCTTCATCACTATTGTGTTCAACAGAAATATGGCCATATTCATAGTGAGTGAGGTGAGAGTAAAAACTCTTCTCACGCTGAGTCTGCCAACGCACGTCAGACAGATACCATGCAATATCTTGGAAGTCCAACACAAGATGAGTACTGGCTGCAACCTTCAACTCCAAAAATTTGATACCAAGAGGCACCGATGTCAGATAAGCATGTTGAGGTGTCAGCCTGAGTTCAAAGCCTAAGTTCCTCATCTGTGGCAAGCTCATAAGCAAAGGGACTTCTCCTTCTTCCACTATGTCGAACTCTGTATGGTGGATCGTCCATGCACGATCATACATGTAAATCACCAGTTTCTGAGAGCAAGTAGCCTTCTGGGAATTGGCAAAGTAAAACTTGCTCTTGGTAGACTCAAAAGAGTACCATAATCCACAATCTGGGTGATTTTCGACATAGTTGCAAAAATGGTCGACTGCTCGCCTTGATCCCATAGCTCTAGTGCATCCAATGTCCAGGATTGCAATAGTTGGCGGGAAGCGATTCTCAGTCAAAAATGAAATAGCCTGCATCTCCTTCACTTCTTCCTCAGCGCTCATAAGCGCAAAGCCATCAGCGCTCATAAGCGCAAAGCCATCAGGAGCCTTTGTGAGCATCTCCTTTGACAAAGAGTACCTCACAGGGGCACTCATGTCATCGAAGATCGTCTCACCATTGTTGACCATGCAGTCAGCTTCATCTTGGCATGAGGTCATCATGCCTGACAGCAAGTCCACCTCACTGTCATGGACTTCAGCTGCTGCTGTCACACAATGTGCAAAGAAAACTTGTTGACCTCCTGATGCTTGTGAAGATCTTGAAGGTGCAGGTAAAGAACGTGGCTGTTGTTGATTTGCATAGTTTGCATCTTGTTTGCCATCTCCTTTATCTTTTCCTTTTCCTTTCTTGCCTTTTCTCTTGCCTTTTCCTTTTCTTTTGTGGGAAAACCATGCTTCTTCAAGTTGTTGCCAAAAGTCATTGGCATCATCATATTCTCCTTGAAGATAGTCATTCATATCCTCGGCAAGAATGGCATCATATGCTCCTTGGGTTGACTCCCAAGTGTCCTCATAAGGATTCTCTTCAAAGTACTCTTCTGGATATGTTGTCTGTTGCTCATCAGCAAAATGGCCTTTACCTCGTCTCTTCCCTTTTCCTTTTCCACGAGGTCTGAAGAATCTACGGCCTGATCTTCCTTTTCCTTTTCCTTTTCTTCTACCTTTTCCTTTGCCTTTTCTGGCTCTTCTTCCTTGGAATCTCCTTTGGAACCACGAGAAGTTTTGATCATCATATACCCAAAAGACATCGTCTAGGGCATCTAAAAATCCTTCTGTTCCATCTTCTTCATCTTCGGCCCAATAGCCAAATGTACCATCGAGTTCTCCTTCGTCTAGTACGAGAAATGATCTTCTACCTCCAGCACCTGTCGGCTGCATCAATGGATTGTCTACTGAAGTCTTTGTCGTGCAGAACATCTCGATGAACACTGTCCTCAACTCTGTTGTAGTGTATTGCTGCAGGTACCTGCCACGATGAGTCATCAACGAAGTCAAAGTGTTTCGCTGGTCCTGAGACAAATCTGCAAGGGACAGCATGAGTAGGGCAATGAGATTCTCTCCTAAAGGAAAATCATTCTGATGAAGAATTCTCATATTGCCATTGACATTCTGCATGATTTCCTGAATCCTTTCTGCCGTTGGTGCTGCTCCAGTCAACGCTGCATCTGCCTGCATCTGAGCAAGGACTTGGGGATGTGCTTGAGTGACTGGTTCTAACATGTCCATCCAACTGCTCATAAGCCTTTGGAGTAAAATCTGGAATCTTGTCATCCATTTCATCATGTCGGCTGATCCTCGATTGAATCGCACGAATTGCATAAACCTGTATAGGAATACATTGGTTGATCCTTTCACGAAATATGGTCGTAGTACTCGTTTGAAGTAATCTACTCCTGCTCCTGGTGGCTCATTAGCCTTCAATGAATCTCTGTCTAATACACGTTTGTATACTGCTGCTTCTCCTTCTAATCTGTTTCTCAAAGCTGGTCCTCTCTTCTCATCTTCCAGCTCGGTGATATCACACCAATCGTCTATGGCATCCTCATAGGAAAACCATGAAGTCTTTCCATCATAAGATGGGGGCACCTTTGTAGTGACCTGTGTTGTCATTGCTATTGCTGCTGGTTCTCTTCTCACATGCCTATTCACGTAGGCTGCTGGCTCATAAGCCACATCCGCATCAGGCTCTTCCCAGTCGTCAATCCAATCCATGGCCGTTTGCCCACAAGCAATTCTACGCCTAGGAAAGGAGCTCACCTGGGTCTTCCAGGATCACTGCTCCGCTACCACTGAAAGAGTGACTAGGGCGTACACGGTAGAGGTGCAGACCGCTAGTGTCTTTTGCTCACGCAGAGTCTTATCCTTAGGTCCATTGACCCTCTCTTGAGCCTTGAAGTAGTCAAGCATGGACACACTATATCAGCTGTTGGAGTGGAACCCTGTACAGGTAGGCTCTACTTTTCAGGGGGGGGGGTCCATAAGATTGATTTAATCAATTATTTGAGGTTTCTGAGGTGCGTCCACCCCGTCACTTAACTTGCTAAAGCAAGAGCAACTCCAGCTAGCTAAGGCTAGCTTTCGTGATCAGCTTGTTCATACCCTCGGCACCCATCATGTTGCCAAGCGCCAAGTGCTGCTTGCCATCAAGGCATCCCCCAGCCTAAGTAGGTTGATGCGCGAAGGGTTGCACGCGCTAGCTTGTGTAGTAAACCCATTTGGTTCAAAATTCAAAACAAATAGACTTCAATCAGGGAACTTCCACGAAGGCTTTGAGCCCCTCGGAGTCTAGGGTCCCTTCCATCTCTAGCTGGGTGATGCGGCGAAGTTCCTTCACGTCCTCTATGTTCATTTCCACCATCACAAAGTACAACAGCTCGTTCTCGCCGGGAAACTCCGGGTCCGCCACTGTCCTAGGTGTGGCTGATTGGACTAGCTGGCCAGATGTCTTTGTCGAGGCGAGGAGGGTCCGAAGGGCCGGAGAACAGGGACCCACGGTGTGGAAACTAGAATGCAAAAGTTAGGGATTCAAGCTAAGGGTCAATCCATGAGCATTCTTTCGTTCCATAATGCGAGCAGCTTTGCGCCCGCCATGGTGTTTGATCAACCATTGATCATTGCGGAACCCCCACTTCACAGAGGTTCTCTGAACCTCTTCGAGCCGCTGCTCGAACCTTGCCTCCACCTTAGCAAAGTCCTTCCCGCAGTCGATGAAGTCGCGAAACATCTGGTGCCGGGTCTCCTATAGGAGTGTTGAGCTGGTGGTTCATCCCTATACTGTTTTATAAACCACATATTCCCAAAGTATAGGGCTGATCTGTGGATAAAATCATTAACACTTTCAAACTCAATATTTCCAAATGTAGACTTGAGACAGAGATAGAACAAATAGGCTGCCCTGCCTGGGACTTGCATGCTGCAATGATCTTCGCCGGGCACCGCTTCTTGTTACGCATCCAGCGTGAGAACTGTTGCCACTCTTTGCGGTGTGAAGTGGAATTGGCCAAGCCAGCTAGCTCAGCTTCCTCCAATGCCTTTCCTTCACCATCACTAGTCTTCTCCTCTTCTGTCTCCTCCTCTTCAGTCTTCCTTTTCTTGCGACAACTTGACTCATCGGCTAGTTTCTTCTTCTTGTGTTCATTTTCTTCTTCTGCGCTTGCCTTCTTGTCTGCCTTCTCCTTCCCACTCTTACTCTTCTCCTTTGTCGCCTTCTCTTTTGCACGCTCTTTGGCCTTCACTTTAGAGGCTTTTCCATCACTCTTCTCTCCATCTTTTTTCTTCCCCTCTGCCCCCTTCTTTGCTGCAGCCTTCTCTGCCTCCTTCTTTCCTCCATTCTTTGCATCCTTCTTCTCTGCCTTCTTCTCTTCATTTGCCTCCTTCTTCTTACTCACTGCTTCCTTCTTCTCTGCAGCCGCCTTCTTGGCAACACTCTTCTCCTCTGCCTCTCGCTTCTTCTTTGCCTCTTCATTCTTCTCTGCCTGTTTCTTATTATTCTTCTTCTCTTCCGTTCCATCGCTTTTCTTCTTTGTCTCTTTTGCAGAGGTTTTCTTCAAGATTCCCTTGCTCGGTGTGTCATCCTCATCTTCCTCTTCCTCCTCTTCCTCTTGATCTTCACTGCTTGCATCCTCCTCACCCGCTTCATCTTCCCCACTTTCACCCTCCTCCTCCTCCTCACTATCAGATTCATCACTCTCGGACTTTGCGCTTTCACTCGATGATTCTGATTCTTCATTGTTCTCATCGTCATCCTCCTCCTCCTTCTTCTTCTCCTCCTCCTTCTCCTCATCCTCCTTCTCTGAGTTGTCTTCCTCAGAGGCATTGTGCCGAGAGAGACAGTAAGCTTTCCACCACTCTTGCATGAGACGAACGGATTTGTGTGACAATCTTTTGGGTTGCCTCTTCATGGAACCCCTTGGAATCCCAGGCGCTTTCAGAAGAACACCAGGTGTCTCAAACTGTGCCCAGTAGATCCGACGAGCCTCCAGCACTTCTTCATCTTCAGACGACTCACTGCTCGAAGACCCCTCTGCTTCCTTATCATCCTTTTTGTCCTTGTTGGCACCTTTCTCCGCCTTGACAAGGAGACATGAATAGAGGATGAGAAGTTCAAAAGGGAGGAACCTCTAAAGTAATGGAACAACAAAAAAGAAAAGGTTACATCCCCAACCCACTCACACAAGCCTTCAGTTGTTGAACAATCGCAGTAGCCTCCGATTCATCCATTGCCTTCTTATTAGACTTTCCCTTCCCCTTGTTCTCAGCTTCGATCTGGTGGATGGAGTTCTCACCAAAAGAAATCCTACACTTGGTAGAGCCCTTCGAAGCACTTGAAGAAGACCTGCTGCTCGGCCTTGGGGGTGGTGTTGTATAGACGTCCACATCCCGCAACTTCCCGGTCTTCTTTTTTACCTTACTCTCAGCAGCAGCCTTGCGTAATTCCTTGGGATTTGGACTGACTGCCCTGGGAGCTGACTTGCTCCGATGCCTGTGACGTGGAGGTTCAGGCGCCATATATGCACACTAGGTCGAGTGATCTGCTCTAGCTGCCCTGCTTTGGACCCTGAACATATATGCACAAGAATGTACACCTATTCGATATGAACATGTGTCAAACCCACAGCCCTAATCTAGTGAACATATGGCTCTAAACGAGATTGAACACAGCACTAATTGTTTTCATGCCAAAGTGCTTGCGCGATCGCGAAGACACTCCCACAGTCGCTCATGGTCCCTACAGATCCTGTTTCTTTCAGATTTCTGTTCAGAACCGTTCAAAATCTTTGAGGTCCAGAACCCAAGAAATTTCTCGGTTTTTCTCGGCCATTTCCCGGATTTTTCCCGGATTCCCGGGTTCTAAGTTATTGATATTTTTTAAGAAAAAATGGACAAAACATGACAAAACATCAACAGATCTATTCAAAGTTGGCTCAATGTTTCATATTTCTTGGGTTGAAAGATAGAATCAAGGACCATCCGGGAAATTTCTTGGGTTGGACAATGGAACTCGGGAAATTTCTTGGGTTGGGCGATGGAACCCGGGAAATTTCTTGGGTTGGATGATGGAACCCGGGAAATTTCTTGGGTTGGACGATGGAACCCAGCAACTTTCTTGGAATTTAGGAATTCCATAATGTGTAATTATAAGATGTGTGGATATCCATGAGCCACCGTGGGTAGATCAGCATCTGATTAAGTCAGATCTAGTTGAATTGCTCTCATGTTAGAGCTATGGCACTACTTGCGCAGCGCGAGCATGACCTGCGGCAGGTCGGCGCCCCTCATCCAACCAATGTCCTGCAGAAAGGCAGCTCATGTGGGAGTGGGTGTGGCTCTTTGGTCAAGTGGTCAAGGATTGAAGGATTGACTGGATATCCAGAGCAGCATGTTTCCCTTTTTACCATGGTACAACATAAACATGCTGAATAAAAGGTTCAGTCCTTGAACTGCTTGATGGGCGATGTTCGATCAGCCAGCGTGTTCCTCAGCAATGAGTGCCAATACATGCTTTGTTGCTCACACCTTTTCAGACCTGTACTACATTCTACAGAGTTCCTATTCCATGTTGGCTGGCCAATCTTTCTATAGAGAAGTCCCAGGGTCTTCTGATCTGCGATCGCCTTGCGCACTTCAGGCCGTTGGGAAAGAAACAGCTCTGCAAGGCGGTCCCGAGCAACTTCGGGTAGTGTTGGAAGTGGCAAGAACAACTGCTCTATGAACTTGTAATTGGAGTAGAGCAGCGTTGGCTTTGGGCCTGGGCTAGAGAGAGATGCTGTAGATAGATGGCTTAACTTGGCTTTGGGTCCCACTCAGCAACAAAAAGAAATCTTTCTGAGAGGTGTGAGCCAGTTCTGTAGCATACCAACAACATTTGGAGTTGCGATTTGAAGAAACCAATTTTGAGTCTGTCCTTTGGTATCGTTTGTACAGCTTGACAGGCCCGCCGGCAAGTCCATCAGCCCGGATCCCTGATGCATGGCAGGTGTCAATCGCCCCCGTAGCTTCCCAGCCAGAGGAACACCTGAGCAGGTTGCTTACTTAGCGGCTGGTAGGTTGCCCACTCCGAAAATGACACATCTCTTCCACATATCTAGGTTGAGGTGCTTTGTATCCCGTTGTCCGCTTGCACAATTCCTGGAATGCAGGGTGCCATTCCATCAAAGAGCTTCCTGGTTGCTCCACAACCCAAGGGATGCGAAGGATGCTCATCATCAAGAGGGCCGTGACCACTCTATAGATCATACAATTCCTGAGATGGGCAATCAGCGCACTGCAAGAAGACCCGGGTTGTATAATGTAGACAGTTGATCAATATAGCCACAGCCACACATGTGGAGATGTAGAGCTGTAAACCCTATGTAAGGGTGGCTTGATTCATCAACAGTCTACATTAGAGCTCAAGGTTATGTTTTTTTCGTGAATCCTTTCCACAGTGGCGAAGACCACTCTGTAGCTAGTCCCCCATCATCCTACGGAATTCAAATGGCTCTCTGCACATTCCTGGACCCACACATCTTAAAGGTCCAGGCATTGAGAGATAGCCCACACAAATGTTCCACATTGGTGAGCCCTGCCCCCGGACAAAACAACATGCATATTGCATTGGTTGAAGCATGAAACACATGAAAGAGCTCACCAAGGAGAACATGCACTACAAAGCTAGCCAGACAGACCTCTACTCAGCCTGGTCAGCAGAGGCTGGCAACCCCATGATCGCCCTCGCCTTCTCCCATGCCTCGTTGATGCCATTTGCAAAGGAAATCCTTGGGGCAAAGAAGAACAACTCAACACTTGAGGGGTTTGATGACAAACATGGTGATCACCTGGGTGGCAACACTCTAAACCCTGCAAAGGGACGATTTTGTGTTCTCCCCAGTGGGCTTCACCCCGCTGACATCCGAGCGAGGCTTGAAGGCTTGCTGGCGGAGCAAGATCTCAAGGCGGGCAGAGCCGTGCAGCCTCCTTAAAGATCAGTGTGGAAAAGAAACCTTTAGATATAGAACATGCTAGAACATTCTACTGTGGTCCCTACATCGTTTTGTCATTCCAAAAGAATGCAAACAAGGAACACAGTATAGGAATGATTCCCATGACGCGCTTGGGGCCACAGGCTCATTGGCAACTTGCGAATGATGTCTTGGTAGGCTTCAGTAAAAGTAGACAGCAAATCACCGGCTCCAACATCAGGCTCTGCTCGATTGGAGTGGGCTGAAGGACTACGAGGCCGCTTGCCATTACTCTTAGTACTGTCTTCCTTGGGAGGCTTGGACTTGACAGCTTTGGACGTCTTGGACTTACGCTTCTTTGACCCCTTACTCTTGGAACCCTTCTCCCTCTTCTCATCCACCCTGACTGGCGATGGATCCAACGCTGCCAGGGCCTCATTGAAGCCATCTGGGTCCTTCAGTCTGGAAGCCAGATGAGAAATGATGGGGATGAGGGATTGGGACACGCGACTATGTTGGAACTGCAAACCAACGCAGGCCAAGTACGCTCAAAGACATTTTGTTGGGGCGCCTTTTATTGTCCTTTTGGAAAGCCTGTGAAGAGCAACAAACGCTACCTATAGGGTCCGTTGCTGGCGTGGGATGGAAAACAATCTTTCCTGTATGCAGATTGAAATAGTGATATATAAATCTATAGAGTTATATATATATTTTTTTATATAGTAATATATATATGTATATAGTGACCTTTATATGTACATAGATATATAGTGACACAACTAGTTACAGAGTGTTCAGCAGACTCTCCTTTCCATCGTAGATGACCAAAGCTTCATGGGGGAGCTCATCAGCAGTACTGATATCAGCAATGCAGGCATCAAATGAAGCCTTATCATCGACCTCGTAATGTGTTGCCAAATGTCACTTCCCACATCGCTGACCTCAGGGAAACATTGACTGTTTTTGAAGGACCCTGGAAGTTCAGTATTTTATTTGCCCTACATGTACAAAACTTCTCCACCCGGTAACACCCCTACTTGGTTTGTGGAGTATTGGTGGTGCCTCCGTGCTGTTGGACTCCACATCAGACAGCTCTGAGGAATCACCATCATGAAGAGGCACATCAACACCCATGAAGTTGTCGGGGATCCCATCAGTTGTGACACTTTCATCATCGCTGGATCCACCGAAACGATCAGTCTCAGCTTCCAGTTCAGGTGCACAGGGCTTCTGGTTGCTCCTCATTTGATCCTTCAACAACTGGGTCCACACAGAGCGGCTGGAGTGTGGACTGTTCTGCCACTTCCTGGGAGAGAGATGTGGCGTTCAAAGAACCACTCACCATGGAACCACCAACCCCGAAAATGCCACCAACCCCGAAAAGAGACACACATGCATGCCACCACATGTCCTTCGAAGTCCAGATCAGAGCTTTCCCAGCTTCTTGGCACAGGAAATCTGTGCATCAGTAGCTGATCCCTCCAAAGAACCCATCTCCTCAGGACGCGGGACTGCACACTCAACCCCAACCCAACGTTGAGCTTACTTTGCTCCACTTTCCTCAATCCACACTGCATTGCCGAGGCACCTCCGCTTGAGAGGGTCGGAACGCAAGGCCCTCAATGCAGGACGGATAGCGCTGCGTTTGAAGAGGGTTGTGGGATGTTGTGGGACTTGACGAATTGCTCACAACCATATGTCTAGTTTGTTCAATATGTTTTCCCACTTGAGTCGCAGGCCTCATAGTAAGCATTGAAGCTATCCAAGATTATCCGAAACTCCTCCATGTTGGGCTTCCGGAATTGGAACTCATTGAACATCAACATGCTATGGACTGCCCAGAAATTCTTGATCCTCAGAGCTTGTGTGCCAAGTGTGTCTAGGGCACCGCTAAACGCAATTGAAAGTCAAAGCACTTAGAGTGATAAAACCTACAATTTAGCCATGGCTCAATGTCCTTTCTTTTGTTGTAGTTCCTTTGGCGAAGTCGCCAACCAACAAGTTGCTCTTGGGGATCTCGGTCAATGGTAGAATGGCCTCATCAGTAAATTTTCTTTGGAACAGCTTGAGCCATGTCCAATCCAAGGCTGGTCAGAGCGTCAACATACTGCGCCCACCCATCATGGGGCGAGCAGGCTCTCCACTCAGCTCTATCAGCCACAGACGGCATGAAAGACATGGCAGGAAAAGCACGAGTCCAAGCTAGCTTCTAAACAAACTTGTGGCTGCAGTTGAGATTGAATCTTGTTTTGCTGAAAGGAACAAATTGCCGACATGCGACTGTTTGTGCACATCACATCACCTGGACATGTTTGGTTTGCTGTCCTTCTTACTATTCTCGCCAAGCTTCGCAGCCTTGACCGATGGAACCATTTGATTTCCCAATGGCATATCGCGGGATCTTCCTGAGGTCGACCTGCATCTGTGTGAGTGACGAGCGTGGGTGCGGCACGGCGCTTTTCAAGATGGTTTGACCCTTCTTCAGACTTGCTTTGACCCTTCTTTGACCCCCTTCAAGATTTTTCTTGTCCAGTTGTATTTATGTTATATTCCACTTCCTTTACACTT